TTTTCTAAACATTAAATGACCATTTGTGATGTGCATTTTTATGAACTCTTGAAAAACTAGGAACTTATTAGCCTGTTTCCCTGCTTCTTGCTTTCATCTTTCCAATGCAGATCAGCTGCTGTTTTCGAACTGCTAATCTCCTGGCTCGCAGCCCACCATATAGCCGCTGTGCTACCAGGGCTCCTTAGAATAAAAGTAGCCTGCTTGAATTTGTCGTTTACTCTAACCACACAATATAGCTTAGGACAGTAAGTTTTCAATGGACAATAATGAAATCACATTAAGGAAATATGTAAACATATTTATAGATTCTAAATGGGCAATAAATATCATTTGGAGAATAAAAATAAAGGGATAAAAAGAGAGACACCAGTTCCAAAGATGTCTGGAAATGAACATGAAGTATGTCATGTCAAAGCTCAGGATATTGGACCAGGCTAAAGCTCAGTAGATCCTGAAGTAGGCCCTAATGCAGTTGTCAGCATGTAATTCATGAATTTATGATTTTATTATATACAGAGAAGGGAGTATTTTTAGCCTATATTTTCAGATCACTGTGGGCAGTTTTATAGCAATAATTTATTTGCCAATATAACCCTCAAGCCCAGCCCTTACATTTTCTTCTTTTGCTTCACCCCTGCCCCAATCGTACACTTAATTGGCTGGATACAAATTGCTCATGAATTTTACTTTCCTTCTTACCCATTACAATTTATCAAAGTCATTATGTGTATAATGTACTACTGGCATGTTTTGATATAGTAAATGCAGATTCCGGTTTGCAATTTCTCCCTTTTGCTGTGTGCTTAAAATATCAAGAAGCAGACATGCTCGCTTTTAATTCAAGCCTGTATCAATCTATCAGCTATCCTTACCATGTGGTTAGGAAGGATAGAGTGAGCGTGTTTCTTTGATCTATGCAGAGGCAAATTTTTGTTTGGTTTTGGTTTTGCAGGGGATTAGGGAGAAAACCTCCTAGAGCCACAGTAAGGTAATGGGACAGGACTGATCAGTGTAAAATGTTGCTATACTTTTCAATGCCAAGAGATGTTTACCTTGTCAGTTTTCATTATTGAATAGGATTTGTGTGTGTTTGCTTCAACTTACAGGATGGTTTTTTGTTTTCGTGTTTGTTTTCAATCTTGAAAATAGCAGACCGAAGTCTCTCTTGCTTTTCAAAGGTCCGCTTGAAGGCATTTTCACTTTTGTGAGAGACCTACATCAGTGTCTGTTTTCACTACGAGGGAATAAATCTGAAGGGGATTTTCACTTTGATGGAAAAAAGCCAAAGTGCACAAGTACCCAGTGTTTGTTTTTTGCAGCGAGTCGCTAAAGAGGCATTTACTACAGTGTGCAGGTAGAGCAGTCAGCCTGGCTTCTCTGAGCGCCTGCCCCAGGAACTGTATTCATCATTAAGATACCGATTTGAGCTAGGTCTGGGACCAATATATGTTACTGTCATTTTAGGCTAGTTTGGTATTTGGTAGACTTGGTAGGTTACTTCAGTCTGGAAGCACTCAAATTTTTTTTCACCTCCACACTAATGTTAGTTGTTTCTTCTCTTTATGCTGTCCCTGCTTGGCCAAGATTTCACAGAAACACTCCGCCATCTCAGATAGCAAGCCAAGCCTGTGCATGATAAATGAGCCGTCATGACATGAGCAAGACCATGATGGTTTTCTCCACAGCAGAGCAGCGTAATCAATCTTAATTGTGAGGGACCAAGAAGTAACAAAGAAGCGAGATTTTTTTTTTTCACACTGTAGCCTATGCTGATTTCTCCAAAAGTAGACAAGATCTGGAGAATTAAAAGCCAAGTTTAATGGTAAATGGGATAATAGAGGTAGACATCCTTTGAATATGAAAATGCTAATTAAAGTGAAAGTTAGCATTTTCAGCACACCTTAATACTTTGATACCTTATCGATATTGTTGATTCTATGGAATTATTTTTCAACAATTCTTTAGCATTTGTAGACAAAATGCTACTCACAAAAAAGCATTTAGGTTCTTTGCCTCACATACCGAACTGCCAAAAATGTCTATGTGAAATAAGATGGAAATTGCAAAAGTATATGCTTTATGTTTTAGACCATAAATGCCTTCCTATAAATTTCCATGAAGGATATAGATCTAGATTTACTTTGAGGGCTAATTTTGTTCTAGAAGTGTATTTGTAGGTTAACAATTGAAAAATGTCTATTCCTGGTAGGGCAGGATCAAGGGGAACGTAACAAAGAGGAAGTGCTGAAATCCTGGTGGGGACTGTCCCCATGATAGTGGGACA